ACATATAACAACTAGGATTAGTACATGTACGAAATCGGTAAATTTACCGATCAGACGACTGTCATGGTATTTAAGAATCAAAGACCACGAAGTGTTGAGTAGAGACTCAGGCAAGTCGTATCGGTCAACCTATTCGTAATGATAACCGTAAAGATAATGTAGTGTCGTTTTTAGTAAAGCCCGTATATGTGTTCATGCACGCGAGCGAGATGGTATGTTAACGACAAACGATAGAGCAGATATCATGCATGTTACTGCTGAGAAATAGGAAGTTTACAGTGGGAAAGCTGAAATCCACGTTTGTCATATATCCTAGTGTGAAGTCGTCCATCCGGTGTCAAAATCAAGAAAATAATCCAGATCCGAAGCATACTTTCTAGTTTCCGTAGCATCATTAATTTTAATGTCACTGTGATATACGAGTTGAAAGATCTGAAAGTGAAACTATAGAAAATGGAATTTGTTTTCTTTCCTTTTGTCTTTGGGAAATTATTGTATGAAATCTGCTTTATTTAAGTTAAAAAAAACCAAGACGGTCAGTAGGATGCACAACAAATACCCATTGAAATACCGCATGTTTGTTGAAATATACATGTAAATCAACCAAATCAACAAACAGTTATTCGATCAAAAAGTCTAGCATTTTGACGATATCGTCCTTGATGTACATGTATTTTTGTTGCGATCAGTGTTCAGTTCTTCACAAAGTAACATTTTTCTAAACAAGAAATTTGTATCAACAATTCCCGTTTTGCAGAAAAAATGCACTGTCAAATGAGAAGCTGTAGACTGAAGATAAATTTAAACTTTATTTATTTTTGCACAAATGTAATGACTTTGATTAAAGTTTTTTTTAAGAATTCACATCTGATTGACACCGCTAGATGAGATAGCGTATCACAATATTTTCGGAGGCCATCTTTTACTGTAGAAAGAATGATGGTAAGACATTGGAATATGTTTATATATATATATATAGAGAGAGAGAGAAATTTGCATTTTTACCCAGGATTCCCAGATTGGGGGTAAACTAATTTCAAGTTCTTACATGTATACTATACAATCTAAATAAGGATTTTTGTATATAAACACCATATATTGATATTGTTAAAGAGACTTTGTCTGCAGGAACATCAGCATAATTCATTAACAATCTCGAGTTTCCTGGCAGGGTAAGAAACTGTTTTCAATACCGAACAGCCTTGATCCGTTCAGTTTAAAAGTCCAGATTAAGTTTATATAGCTCGCGGTTAACCAATTTTCTAGAAAAGTCTTCAGCTGCATCCATCACTAACCAGTTAATGGGCTGGGGAATTCATTTTTGGCCTTTTACCAAATCTGAAGTCTGTTTAATATGAATAAAGGAACATGACTGCAACAAAAAGATGAAGGAGAGGCAGAAGATACCAAGGGGACATTCATAGCGCATACTAATAAGTGGAAGAGACACTGACAACGCCAGAGCATAACACAAGACACCAAGGGGACAATCAAAGCGCATACTAATAAGTGGAAGAGACACTGACAACGCCATAGCAAAACACAAGATACCAAGGGGACAATCAAAGCGCATACTAATAAGTGGAAGAGACACTGACAACGCCAGTGCAAAACACAAGACACCAAGGGGACAATCAAAGCGCATACTAATATTTGGAAGAGACACTGACAACGCCATAGCAAAACACAAGATACCAAGGGGACAATCAAAGCGCATACTAATAAGTGGAAGAGACACTGACAACGCCATAGCAAAACACAAGACACCAAGGGGACAATCAAAGCGCATACTAATAAGTGGAAGAGACACTGACAACGCCATAGCAAAACACAAGACACCAAAGGGACAATCAAAGCGCATACTAATAAGTGGAAGAGACACTGACAATGCTATAGCAAAACACAAGATACCAAGGGGACAATCAAAGCGCATACTAATAAGTGGAAGAGACACTGACAACGCCATAGCAAAACACAAGATACCAAGGGGACAATCAAAGAGCATACTAATAAGTGGAAGAGACACTGACAACGCCATAGCAAAACACAAGATACCAAGGGGACAATCAAAGCGCATACTAATAAGTGGAAGAGACACTGACAACGCCATAGCAAAACACAAGACACCAAGGGGACAATCAAAGCACATACTAATAAGTGGAAGAGACACTGACAACGCCATAGCAAAACACAAGACACCAAGGGGACAATCAAAGCGCATACTAATAAGTGGAAGAGACACTGACAACGCCATAGCAAAACACAAGATACCAAGGGGACAATCAAAGAGCATACTAATAAGTGGAAGAGACACTGACAATGCCATAGCAAAACACAAGATACCAAGGAAACAATCAAAGCGCATACTAATAAGTGGAAGAGACAACGCCATAGCAAAACACAAGATACCAAGGGGACATTCATAGCGCATACTAATAAGTGGAAGAGACAACGCCATAGCAAAACACAAGATACCAAGGGGACAATCAAAGCGCATACTAATAAGTGGAAGAGACACTAACAACGCCATAGCAAAACACAAGATACCAAGGGGACAATCAAAGCGCATACTAATAAGTGGAAGAGACACTGACAACGCCATAGCAAAACACAAGACACCAAGGGGACAATCAAAGCGCATACTAATAAGTGGAAGAGACACTGACAACGCCATAGCAAAACACAAGATACCAAGGGGACAATCAAAGCGCATACTAATAAGTGGAAGAGACACTGACAACGCCATAGCAAAACACAAGACACCAAGGGGACAATCAAAGCGCATACTAATAAGTGGAAGAGACACTGACAACGCCATAGCAAAACACAAGACACCAAAGGGACAATCAAAGCGCATACTAATAAGTGGAAGAGACACTGACAACGCTATAGCAAAACACAAGATACCAAGGGGACAATCAAAGCGCATACTAATAAGTGGAAGAGACACTAACAACGCCATAGCAAAACACAAGATACCAAGGGGACAATCAAAGCGCATACTAATAAGTGGAAGAGACACTGACAACGCCATAGCAGAACACAAGATACCAAGGGGACATTCAAAGCGCATACTAATAAGTGGAAGAGACACTGACAACGCCATAGCAAAAAACAAGATACCTAGGGACAATCAAAGCGCATACTAATAAGTGGAAGATACACTGACAACGCCATAGCAAAACACTAGATACCAAGGGGACAATCATAGCGCATACTAATAGTGGAAGAGACACTGACAACGCCATAGCAAAACACAAGATACCAAGGGGACATTCAAAGCGCATACTAATAAGTGGAAGAGACACTGACAACGCCATAGCAAAACACAAGATACCAAGGGGACATTCAAAGCGCATACTAATAAGTGGAAGAGACACTGACAACGCCATAGCAAAACACAAGATACCAAGGGGACAATCAAAGCGCATACTAATAAGTGGAAGAGACACTGACAAAAAACACAAGATACCAAGGGGACAATCAAAGGGCATACTAATAAGTGGCAGAGACACTGACAACGCCTTAGCAAAACACAAGATACCAAGGGGACAATCAAAGCGCATACTAATAAGTGGCAGAGACACTGACAACGCCATAGCAAAACACAAGATACCAAGGGGACAATCAAAGCGCATACTAATAAGTGGAAGAGACACTGACAACGCCATAGCAAAACACAAGATACCAAGGGGACATTCAAAGCGCATACTAATAAGTGGCAGAGACACTGACAACGCCATAGCAGAACACAAGACACCAAGGGGACAATCAAAGCGCATACTAATAAGTGGAAGAGACACTGACAACGCCATAGCAAAACACAAGATACCAAGAGGACAATCAAAGCGCATACTAATAAGTGGCAGAGACACTGACAACGCCATAGCAAAACACAAGATACCAAGAAGACAATCAAAGTGCATACTAATAAATGGAAGAGACACTGACAACGCCATAGCAAAACACAAGATACCAAGGGGACAATCAAAGCGCATACTAATAAGTGGATGAGACACTGACAACGCCATAGCAAAACACAAGATACCAAGGGGACAATCAAAGCGCATACTAATAAGTGGATGAGACACTGACAACGCCATAGCAAAACACAAGACACCAAGGGGACAATCAAAGCGCATACTAATAAGTGGAAGAGACACTGACAACGCCATAGCAGAACACAAGATACCAAGGGGACATTCAAAGCGCATACTAATAAGTGGAAGAGACACTGACAACGCCATAGCAAAACACAAGATACCTAGGGACAATCAAAGCGCATACTAATAAGTGGAAGATACACTGACAACGCCATAGCAAAACACAAGATACCAAGGGGACAATCATAGCGCATACTAATAGTGGAAGAGACACTGACAACGCCATAGCAAAACACAAGATACCAAGGGGACATTCAAAGCGCATACTAATAAGTGGAAGAGACACTGACAACGCCATAGCAAAACACAAGATACCAAGGGGACATTCAAAGCGCATACTAATAAGTGGAAGAGACACTGACAACGCCATAGCAAAACACAAGATACCAAGGGGACAATCAAAGCGCATACTAATAAGTGGAAGAGACACTGACAAAAAACACAAGATACCAAGGGGACAATCAAAGGGCATACTAATAAGTGGCAGAGACACTGACAACGCCTTAGCAAAACACAAGATACCAAGGGGACAATCAAAGCGCATACTAATAAGTGGCAGAGACACTGACAACGCCATAGCAAAACACAAGATACCAAGGGGACAATCAAAGCGCATACTAATAAGTGGAAGAGACACTGACAACGCCATAGCAAAACACAAGATACCAAGGGGACATTCAAAGCGCATACTAATAAGTGGCAGAGACACTGACAACGCCATAGCAGAACACAAGACACCAAGGGGACAATCAAAGCGCATACTAATAAGTGGAAGAGACACTGACAACGCCATAGCAAAACACAAGATACCAAGAGGACAATCAAAGCGCATACTAATAAGTGGCAGAGACACTGACAATGCTATAGCAAAACACAAGATACCAAGGGGACAATCAAAGCGCATACTAATAAGTGGAAGAGACACTGACAACGCCATAGCAAAACACAAGATACCAAGGGGACAATCAAAGAGCATACTAATAAGTGGAAGAGACACTGACAACGCCATAGCAAAACACAAGATACCAAGGGGACAATCAAAGCGCATACTAATAAGTGGAAGAGACACTGACAACGCCATAGCAAAACACAAGACACCAAGGGGACAATCAAAGCACATACTAATAAGTGGAAGAGACACTGACAACGCCATAGCAAAACACAAGACACCAAGGGGACAATCAAAGCGCATACTAATAAGTGGAAGAGACACTGACAACGCCATAGCAAAACACAAGATACCAAGGGGACAATCAAAGAGCATACTAATAAGTGGAAGAGACACTGACAATGCCATAGCAAAACACAAGATACCAAGGAAACAATCAAAGCGCATACTAATAAGTGGAAGAGACAACGCCATAGCAAAACACAAGATACCAAGGGGACATTCATAGCGCATACTAATAAGTGGAAGAGACAACGCCATAGCAAAACACAAGATACCAAGGGGACAATCAAAGCGCATACTAATAAGTGGAAGAGACACTAACAACGCCATAGCAAAACACAAGATACCAAGGGGACAATCAAAGCGCATACTAATAAGTGGAAGAGACACTGACAACGCCATAGCAAAACACAAGACACCAAGGGGACAATCAAAGCGCATACTAATAAGTGGAAGAGACACTGACAACGCCATAGCAAAACACAAGATACCAAGGGGACAATCAAAGCGCATACTAATAAGTGGAAGAGACACTGACAACGCCATAGCAAAACACAAGACACCAAGGGGACAATCAAAGCGCATACTAATAAGTGGAAGAGACACTGACAACGCCATAGCAAAACACAAGACACCAAAGGGACAATCAAAGCGCATACTAATAAGTGGAAGAGACACTGACAACGCTATAGCAAAACACAAGATACCAAGGGGACAATCAAAGCGCATACTAATAAGTGGAAGAGACACTAACAACGCCATAGCAAAACACAAGATACCAAGGGGACAATCAAAGCGCATACTAATAAGTGGAAGAGACACTGACAACGCCATAGCAGAACACAAGATACCAAGGGGACATTCAAAGCGCATACTAATAAGTGGAAGAGACACTGACAACGCCATAGCAAAACACAAGATACCTAGGGACAATCAAAGCGCATACTAATAAGTGGAAGATACACTGACAACGCCATAGCAAAACACAAGATACCAAGGGGACAATCATAGCGCATACTAATAGTGGAAGAGACACTGACAACGCCATAGCAAAACACAAGATACCAAGGGGACATTCAAAGCGCATACTAATAAGTGGAAGAGACACTGACAACGCCATAGCAAAACACAAGATACCAAGGGGACATTCAAAGCGCATACTAATAAGTGGAAGAGACACTGACAACGCCATAGCAAAACACAAGATACCAAGGGGACAATCAAAGCGCATACTAATAAGTGGAAGAGACACTGACAAAAAACACAAGATACCAAGGGGACAATCAAAGGGCATACTAATAAGTGGCAGAGACACTGACAACGCCTTAGCAAAACACAAGATACCAAGGGGACAATCAAAGCGCATACTAATAAGTGGCAGAGACACTGACAACGCCATAGCAAAACACAAGATACCAAGGGGACAATCAAAGCGCATACTAATAAGTGGAAGAGACACTGACAACGCCATAGCAAAACACAAGATACCAAGGGGACATTCAAAGCGCATACTAATAAGTGGCAGAGACACTGACAACGCCATAGCAGAACACAAGACACCAAGGGGACAATCAAAGCGCATACTAATAAGTGGAAGAGACACTGACAACGCCATAGCAAAACACAAGATACCAAGAGGACAATCAAAGCGCATACTAATAAGTGGCAGAGACACTGACAACGCCATAGCAAAACACAAGATACCAAGAAGACAATCAAAGTGCATACTAATAAATGGAAGAGACACTGACAACGCCATAGCAAAACACAAGATACCAAGGGGACAATCAAAGCGCATACTAATAAGTGGATGAGACACTGACAACGCCATAGCAAAACACAAGATACCAAGGGGACAATCAAAGCGCATACTAATAAGTGGATGAGACACTGACAACGCCATAGCAAAACACAAGACACCAAGGGGACAATCAAAGCGCATACTAATAAGTGGAAGAGACACTGACAACGCCATAGCAGAACACAAGATACCAAGGGGACATTCAAAGCGCATACTAATAAGTGGAAGAGACACTGACAACGCCATAGCAAAACACAAGATACCTAGGGACAATCAAAGCGCATACTAATAAGTGGAAGATACACTGACAACGCCATAGCAAAACACAAGATACCAAGGGGACAATCATAGCGCATACTAATAGTGGAAGAGACACTGACAACGCCATAGCAAAACACAAGATACCAAGGGGACATTCAAAGCGCATACTAATAAGTGGAAGAGACACTGACAACGCCATAGCAAAACACAAGATACCAAGGGGACATTCAAAGCGCATACTAATAAGTGGAAGAGACACTGACAACGCCATAGCAAAACACAAGATACCAAGGGGACAATCAAAGCGCATACTAATAAGTGGAAGAGACACTGACAAAAAACACAAGATACCAAGGGGACAATCAAAGGGCATACTAATAAGTGGCAGAGACACTGACAACGCCTTAGCAAAACACAAGATACCAAGGGGACAATCAAAGCGCATACTAATAAGTGGCAGAGACACTGACAACGCCATAGCAAAACACAAGATACCAAGGGGACAATCAAAGCGCATACTAATAAGTGGAAGAGACACTGACAACGCCATAGCAAAACACAAGATACCAAGGGGACATTCAAAGCGCATACTAATAAGTGGCAGAGACACTGACAACGCCATAGCAGAACACAAGACACCAAGGGGACAATCAAAGCGCATACTAATAAGTGGAAGAGACACTGACAACGCCATAGCAAAACACAAGATACCAAGAGGACAATCAAAGCGCATACTAATAAGTGGCAGAGACACTGACAACGCCATAGCAAAACACAAGATACCAAGAAGACAATCAAAGTGCATACTAATAAATGGAAGAGACACTGACAACGCCATAGCAAAACACAAGATACCAAGGGGACAATCAAAGCGCATACTAATAAGTGGATGAGACACTGACAACGCCATAGCAAAACACAAGATACCAAGGGGACAATCAAAGCGCATACTAATAAGTGGATGAGACACTGACAACGCCATAGCAAAACACAAGACACCAAGGGGACAATCAAAGCGCATACTAATAAGTGGAAGAGACACTGACAACGCCATAGCAAAACACAAGACACCAAGGGGACAATCAAAGCGCATACTAATAAGTGGAAGAGACACTGACAACGCCATAGCAAAACACAAGATACCAAGGGGACAATCAAAGCGCATACTAATAAGTGGAAGAGACACTGACAACGCCATAGCAAAACACAAGATACCAAGGGGACAATCAAAGAGCATACTAATAAGTGGAAGAGACACTGACAACGCCATAGCAAAACACAAGATACCAAGGGGACAATCAAAGCGCATACTAATAAGTGGAAGAGACAACGCCATAGCAAAACACAAGATACCAAGGGGACATTCATAGTGCATACTAATAAGTGGAAGAGACAACGCCATAGCAAAACACAAGATACCAAGGGGACAATCAAAGCGCATACTAATAAGTGGAAGAGACACTAACAACGCCATAGCAAAACACAAGATACCAAGGGGACAATCAAAGCGCATACTAATAAGTGGAAGAGACACTGACAACGCCATAGCAGAACACAAGATACCAAGGGGACATTCAAAGCGCATACTAATAAGTGGAAGATACACTAACAACGCCATAGCAAAACACAAGATACCAAGGGGACAATCATAGCGCATACTAATAAGTGGAAGATACACTGACAACGCCATAGCAAAACACAAGATACCAAGGGGACAATCATAGCGCATACTAATAGTGGAAGAGACACTGACAACGCCATAGCAAAACACAAGATACCAAGGGGACATTCAAAGCGCATACTAATAAGTGGAAGAGACACTGACAACGCCATAGCAAAACACAAGATACCAAGGGGACATTCAAAGCGCATACTAATAAGTGGAAGAGACACTGACAACGCCATAGCAAAACACAAGATACCAAGGGGACAATCAAAGCGCATACTAATAAGTGGAAGAGACACTGACAAAAAACACAAGATACCAAGGGGACAATCAAAGGGCATACTAATAAGTGGCAGAGACACTGACAACGCCTTAGCAAAACACAAGATACCAAGGGGACAATCAAAGCGCATACTAATAAGTGGCAGAGACACTGACAACGCCATAGCAAAACACAAGATACCAAGGGGACAATCAAAGCGCATACTAATAAGTGGAAGAGACACTGACAACGCCATAGCAAAACACAAGATACCAAGGGGACATTCAAAGCGCATACTAATAAGTGGCAGAGACACTGACAACGCCATAGCAGAACACAAGACACCAAGGGGACAATCAAAGCGCATACTAATAAGTGGAAGAGACACTGACAACGCCATAGCAAAACACAAGATACCAAGAGGACAATCAAAGCGCATACTAATAAGTGGAAGAGACACTGACAACGCCATAGCAAAACACAAGATACCAAGAAGACAATCAAAGTGCATACTAATAAATGGAAGAGACACTGACAACGCCATAGCAAAACACAAGATACCAAGGGGACAATCAAAGCGCATACTAATAAGTGGATGAGACACTGACAACGCCATAGCAAAACACAAGATACCAAGGGGACAATCAAAGCGCATACTAATAAGTGGATGAGACACTGACAACGCCATAGCAAAACACAAGACACCAAGGGGACAATCAAAGCGCATACTAATAAGTGGAAGAGACACTGACAACGCCATAGCAAAACACAAGACACCAAGGGGACAATCAAAGCGCATACTAATAAGTGGAAGAGACACTGACAACGCCATAGCAAAACACAAGATACCAAGGGGACAATCAAAGCGCATACTAATAAGTGGAAGAGACACTGACAACGCCATAGCAAAACACAAGATACCAAGGGGACAATCAAAGAGCATACTAATAAGTGGAAGAGACACTGACAACGCCATAGCAAAACACAAGATACCAAGGGGACAATCAAAGCGCATACTAATAAGTGGAAGAGACAACGCCATAGCAAAACACAAGATACCAAGGGGACATTCATAGTGCATACTAATAAGTGGAAGAGACAACGCCATAGCAAAACACAAGATACCAAGGGGACAATCAAAGCGCATACTAATAAGTGGAAGAGACACTAACAACGCCATAGCAAAACACAAGATACCAAGGGGACAATCAAAGCGCATACTAATAAGTGGAAGAGACACTGACAACGCCATAGCAGAACACAAGATACCAAGGGGACATTCAAAGCGCATACTAATAAGTGGAAGATACACTAACAACGCCATAGCAAAACACAAGATACCAAGGGGACAATCATAGCGCATACTAATAGTGGAAGAGACACTGAGAACGCCATAGCAAAACACAAAATACCAAGGGGACATTCAAAGCGCATACTAATAAGTGGAAGAGACACTGACAACGCCATAGCAAAACACAAGATACCAAGGGGACATTCAAAGCGCATACTAATAAGTGGAAGAGACACTGACAACGCCATAGCAAAACACAAGATACCAAGGGGACAATCAAAGCGCATACTAATAAGTGGCAGAGACACTGACAACGCCATAGCAAAACACAAGATACCAAGGAGACATTCAAAGCGCATACTAATAAGTGGCAGAGACACTGACAACGCCATAGCAGAACACAAGACACCAAGGGGACAATCAAAGCGCATACTAATAAGTGGAAGAGACACTGACAACGCCATAGCAAAACACAAGATACCAAGTGGACAATCAAAGCGCATACTAATAAGTGGCAGAGACACTGACAACGCCATAGCAAAACACAAGATACGAAGAAGACAATCAAAGTGCATACTAATAAATGGAAGAGACACTGACAACGCCATAGCAAAACACAAGATACCAAGGGGACAATCAAAGCGCATACTAATAAGTGGAAGAGACACTGACAACGCCATAGCAAAACACAAGATACCAAGGGGACAATCAAAGCGCATACTAATAAGTGGATGAGACACTGACAACGCCATAGCAAAACACAAGATACCAAGGGGACAATCAAAGCGCATACTAATAAGTGGAAGAGACACCGACAACGCCATAGCAAAACACAAGATACCAAGGGGACAATCATAGCGCATACTAATAGTGGAAGAGACACTAACAACGCCAGAGCAAAACACAAGATACCAAGGGGACAATCATAGCGCAAACTAATAAGTGGAAGAGAAAACGCCATAGCAGAACACAAGATACCAAGGGGACAATCATAGCGCAAACTAATAAGTGGAAGAGAAAACGCCATAGCAGAACACGCCTTGAAAGATGACGAAAAGACAAACAGTTCAACAAATTTATATATATGTAGAGAAGAAATATCATAAATTCTAAACATTCTGGATCTGTATCGATACTTGAAGAGGTTATTAACCACCAATCTGTTGCCACTTGTCTAGTCAGAGTTATAAAAGATCAAATGGTAACTGTGTACAATGTAGATCAGTGAAACTCATATGGAATGGTTAGAAGAGCAGCAGCAAACGTCAACCACCGAAATAAAGAATCATAAGTTGGGACAGGCATACATACAGTATTTGGCGGTGTTAAACATGTTTTTGAATGTTAATCGCTACACTTACCTGGGACAGCACAACATTAGAATGTTAATAGCCTATCTGTTAGACAAAAAGCAATGTTGACACCTGTATTTTTGTATGTCCATCTTCTCATGAAACTTCTCGCCAGAGAAGATCAGAGAACAAAACTACACAAACTATAACAAGTGCAATTGCCCATAAAAGCAATAGAAGATTAAAATACGGAAGCAATAATGCTGAAGTGGATTGAAAAATCGATATCCAAAGGACAGTACACGAACGAGACGCATCAAAAGCAACCACACACACACACATACATACTCACAAATCGGTTTACATTATTGACAAAGTCATTGTTATTATTAACGTACTGTCCAATATATTTTCCAGGATAACTTTGAACAATCCAGATGTTGCACAGTTTCTTTGGGACCGAATTAAAGATTATTTGAAACCAATAGAGTTTACCGAAACCAAAGACCCCAAATCCCAACATATACATGGTATACCATTTTTACTGAAAGGAAAATGGGAACCATGCGGTTTAAATAATGTAAGTATAAATGTTTTATATCACTACCAAAGTTAAAAACCAGAATTATGCATGAAGTGCGACATTGCACTGAATACGTTACATCGGATTGTAATACATGTACAAGAGACAATTTTATTTTTCATATTATATTGTATTGAATCAAAAAGATAGCTCTTCCTATACTACCTTCATGTAGATCTATTATAAGATCTAAAGAACCAATTCAGACTTTTCCTGGTATTAAAAAATATTAGTGTCTTCATTACTCAGCATATGTCACTGGGAAAGATGTTGCCGAAGAACATTTGATTGTTAAATTTATCAGACGTAATCTAACCATATCAAGAAAGTATCATATATTTTATATTTTCCAGATTTTCAGACTATGTAGATACTACCCAGGAGGCCACTTTGCGCCGCATTACGATGGCTTTTATGCAAAAAGTTCTCATGAAAGGTCATTGAAAACATTTATGTTGTATCTAAATAATGAATTCCAAGATGGTTGCACACAATTTGTAAATGAGAATCAGACTTTATACAAGGTAATATGGATAGTATTTGAGTTATTTAACTGGTGATATACATTTAATTTACCGGGTATTTTATTTTAGCTGAATTTTCTTACCATTATTTGGTTTTGGAAAACAACATCTTCTTGTCCCCTTCCATTTGAAATGATGTTCTGACATCTTCTTTCATACCTATATTCATTACGAATAACTAAGCGGTGAACATGAAATATGTATTATGTTCACATTTAACCTTAGCTGTATTTGGCAAAACGTTTCGAAATTTTGGTCCCCGATGCTCTTCAACTTCGTAATTTTTTTTACCTTTTTAACTTTCATTCGAGAGTTACTAATGAGTCTTTTGTAGACAAAACGCGCGTCTAGAGTATAAAATTTTAATCCTGGTATCTACGATGAGTTTATTTAAAACATTATGGAATTTTATAGGATGCAAATGGCAAATATTGTGCTGAAGACAAAAATATTCTTGAAAGAATTCATCCGCATCCAGGAATGGCAATTTTGTTTAATCATCAAAGATTACACGAAGGCCAGAAAGTAAGGTAATATATTTGTATACATTTAGTTGTTTTGATAGTGAAAGGAGTTTAATATTTTTTGTATAACGAATGACTCAAATTATAAGTTATTAAATTCAGACGAGAATTAATAGGAACTATATGAAAAGGTGGTCTTTCTTTGAAATCTCTGCAGGTTCAAAACAACAGGCAGTGTTGGCACAACAGTTTTTGACTAATTAAGATGAATTGTGGTATCGAGTTTGGTCGCTACATTTTATCGGTTTTATTTTCAGAGATGGGACGAAATATATTTTACGAACAGATATAATGTATAAGAGATGTGGTGACAAAACAATGGACGAAAAAGAAGAAAAGGCTTTACAGCTTTTACAAGAGGCAGAAAGACTAGAGGTTATATTTTTACCTTTCAGTATACGTGTAATATACGGCTGCAACGCCTTCAATTATCAATAGTGTAAATTTGAAGTAAAAAACTTAAGTAAAAATTCCCAGAATTCAAGACAGACATTGAATGTTCACCCCCCGAATGTGTGAGATTTATGTTTTTTTAATTGAAGTACATACAGTAATGTCCGAGAAGCAATAGTAAATATATGAACTGTCTAATTAATATATGAAAGATATCGTGAAGGGTTCTACGAACGGTGTTTCCCCAAGGCTATTATTAAATCAAAAGTTTGTTGTTTGGAACAAAATTAATTTGAGATCCAAAATTACTTACAACATAATCAAATATCAAATAACAGCTCAAAATTCATGGAAAACGCCTATAGTTCAATAGTCAT